TACTCTTGATCATACCAACTATGTGTTTGGAATTTAGTGACATTTTAAATACATGTGCATGTACATGTATGATGTGAATTTGTAGTATTCATTTAAAGTATTTCATTTATAGTACTACACTACTAGTTGTATACCTTAGTATAGTCTAGTATACTCTTAGTATACTCTTAGTATACTCTTAGTATACTCTTAGTTTACTTTATTATCAGAGCACAGTGAGTACTCGTGCTATTACAACTGTTCTTATGTTGTGTAGAAAGTTTGAGCTGATTCTGATCAAAATTGGATTTTTTATGAATTTTTAAAGTTGTTCCAAAATCAGACCAAAGTCCCTGTACTATTAGTAACGCAGTAGCGTTACTAAGTAGGATTCACCCCACTTCAAAATGGCTGCCATGACTTTTGCAGCCTTAGTACATGGTCTCGGGCCAAATTTTACCAAAATTTAAAAGTAGAGAATTCTCAATTTTTATAACATTCCCTGATACATATACATGTTCTTATGTTGTGTAGAAAGTTTAAGCTGATTCCGATCAAAATTGGATTTTTTACAAATTTTTAAAGTTGCTTCAAAATCGGGTAAAAGTCCCTGTACTATAGTACATGGTCTCGGGCCAAATTTTGCCAAAATTGAAAAGTAGGGAATTCTCACTTTTTATAACATTCCCTGATACATATACATGTTCTTATGTTGTGTAGAAATTTTGAGCTGATTCCGATCAAAATTGGATTTTTTACGAATTTTTAAAGTTGCTCCAAAATCAGGTCAAAGTCCCTGTACTATAGTACATGGTCTCAGGCCAAATTTTGCCAAAATTGAAAAGTAGAGAATTCTCACTTTTTATAACATTCCCTGATACATATACATGTTCTTATGTTGTGTAGAAATTTTGAGCTGATTCCGATCAAAATTGGATTTTTTTTAACGAATTTTTAAAGTTGCTCCAAAATCAGGTCAAAGTCCCTGTACTATAGTACATGGTCTCAGGCCAAATTTTGCCAAAATTGAAAAGTAGAGAATTCTCACTTTTTATAACATTCCCTGATACATATACATGTTCTTATGTTGTGTAGAAATTTTGAGCTGATTCCGATCAAAATTGGATTTTTTTTAACGAATTTTTAAAGTTGCTCCAAAAGCCATGTACTGTGTACTGTAGTGCTTGTCAGCTCATGAAGCTCACTTAATATACTTTGTGGGAAACACTGACCTGTACAATTAACATGTACATATGCATGTAGCTAGGAATTAGGAAATATTTATTAATATTTCTGAATATTTGTGTACTGTATTATCAGTTTATATTCTCTTTTAAGTCTCTCAAGTGTATCCCTAACCTGCGGTGAGCCTGTGGAGTCTACACCTTATGATTTCCTGGAAGGTGTGGCTCGTCGTGATCAGTTCTCAATACACCCAGAGCCTGATGTAGCAATGGTTTTTAAAAAGACGACAGATGACCAGTCAGTTGATTTGGTTGAAGTTGAGAAACTGTTGAAGAAACTGTTGAATGAAGTTAGTATTTACAATGTACATCTAGATTAATCTCTATATTATACTGGAACTGTAGGGGAAGTGGAGTGATTGAGTAAATGTGTGTTTGTGATATTTCTTTATAATGAAATTAATTCTTTTTGTCTTATGCTTTGTCTTAAATGTTTGCTGTTGTACAAGTAGGCTATTTGTTCTTTTTGTCATGTGATGCCCATCTATATAGTTCATATACATGTAACTTTTAACTACGACTGTAATGCAACTTTATCATTCCTGTAATTAGTTTATTATTTTATTTACAGAATTCAAATGATCCTCAAGTCTTCAATCAGGTTGGCAACTTGTGGCGGGTGAAAGGTAACACTCTCCTGGCCATAGAGTGTTTTCGGAAGGCTCTCTCAGTCTCTCCTAATGACCCTGATGCCCTCATTAATATGGCAAGGACACTCTATAATCTTAAGTTCATAGATGATACACTTTTCCTAACCAAGCTATCCTTACATCACAAATTCCCCAAGTCAGAAACCTGGCTACAGCACTATACACTTGGTGAGGCTTACAAAGTCACTAAAAAGTATGAAACTGCTGCTGCTTACTTTAAGAAAGCTCTAGAACTGAACCCAAGTCTCAGCAGAGCGGAGGCTCATCTAAGGGACCTTGAGAGACAAAGTAGTCTTACCAACTTCTACACAGTCATCATCATTCTATTCTTAGTCTCTTTTGTTATCATTATTATATCTTATCTAATTTATGTAAGAAATTGACGTAGATTATACTGGTCATCATTGGCATTGCTTTTGGCTTTTATCATTATCATCATCATTATTCACTGATTCTGATTTTTATTGTTGTTAACTTGTTATTCATGGACTTAATTTTTGTCTTGTTTGGTCACGACACGCCTTTCTCTTCTGCGATTGAGCAAGATGGCTACAGAAAGTTTTGTTCCTGCTACTAAAGAATATCAAGTTTTCAAGAGGAACACTGGTAAACTTCAAGAAGCACTCTCTGATCCAAAGTTACTATCTATGTATTTACTTTCTGTCGACCTCATTTCCCTTTCAACTCTTCGGAAAGTGAATGTTCCTGCCACTACTCCTAATGCACAAAACTATGAGATTATAGATAACTTACTTCGAGCAGTGGCCATTGATCCTAACAACTTTCACAAGCTCCTTAAAGTACTAGAGAATCATCCTCCACTACTGACTGCTGTTGCTAAAGAAATGAAAGAAGAATATGGTATGTAATTATTGAGACTATGGTCTGAGCTAATGGTTCAAGATCTAGATCTAGATACATGTTTTCTTACATTTTTTTAGAATCCTGTGGGTTTGAATGCACAAGGCAGCCAGAAATCAGCAATGATGTCAAGCAGAAAGGTACAAATATTTGTGAATGAAACTTTTTATAAGATTAATTTAGAAATAATTATTGTTGATGGTCGAAATATTCAAAGAGGTTATGATCAAATGCTTGGGAAGTTAGCAGGACTTGTGCTTGACTTTCAGAAAGTAGTTGAAAAGGCAAACATCAACTTTGAAGATCTGAAGCAATACGTCATCCTTTATCATCCTGATGAGCAATATAGGAATGAGCTGAGGAAAGCAAGGAATGTTTATGAAGTATTTGATATAATTCGTAGCAAATTCTGCTCTCTTTTTAATTATGATGTTCTGTTACGAATTGCCGAGAAATTTAATCTTCCTGATGCATTTAAAGTAATACAGCAATACGAAACAGAGGAAGATAATTATCGTAAATTATTAAGTAGCTCCACACTTGCCAGTGAACTGCAGAGAGAAAATGAGTTACTTCGTCAGAATTTGTCTCGTACAAAGAGAATTGTTCTTCGGCTACAAAGATGGGCACGACCTCCAGCACCAACAGTTGCTGAGTTTCTAGAAGTTATTAAAGATGTTTTTGCTGACCTTGGAGATCTACTTCATCTTCTTAATGTTGAGCCAGGTTCAATCATTGTGACAATGATTGCTCCTGAACGAGTGACAGGAGCACTAATAGCTCTGGCAAAGAGGAGTGTTGGGTATCTTAGGGATATTGGAGTGATCTGGCTAACAATTGGAGACACTTTAATTATCAATGATATTGAAGACACAAAACAGGTAGATATGTGGAGCATTAATGCTAATAATATTATTAATCATTCTGATTAGCTATCAGTACTATACATCAGTTTATGAAAATCTATCATTTTAGGTTCAAAGTATTTCAGACAATGTTGATGATAATCTGCCATCAGCACAAGGTGGAGTAGATGATGGAGGAGATGATACTGATCAAGGAATGGAAGCTGATTCAGCTACTCCATTGCTTGACCGAACATGGCGTCACTATCCTGTCTCATCAGTGACATCAAGAGAAGGAATGATTATTGGATCATTTGGTGATCATAATAATTGGCTGGAACAACAGTTAGTGAATAATGAGAGTATTATTATTAATATATTATCAACAGACACATTGTATCACCAAAACTACTTACAGCAGAATTATCAGGTGACTGGAGGAAGAAAGAGATTGAGAGAGTTACAGAGTTGTGCAGTATAAATAGTGAATGGTTTCAGATTAAATCACCCCACTATGATCTACCAGGAAGTGAACGCACTAAAGAATATTACATAGAGGCAATCAAACAATTTTTAATTAACTGCAAACGGCCAGGAGGTATGAGCAATATTTCTCAGCTGACTAACATTAACATTAACTTGTTATATAGCTACTATCTCTTACAATGGTCATGGAGAGAAGGACACTGGTAACTGGTGCTTTAAAGATGGAGTAATATCATTCAATGATATCTTTGAATTATATGTAAACCATTTTAAAGGGAAGCCATTAACAATAATATCAGATTGCAGTTATTCTGGTAATTGGATCTATGAATGCTGTAAGAGGTTAGATGAAATGAACGTTCTATCATGTGGACACCACACAAGAGACCAAGGGCTGTTGGTTAACATATCTACCTC